GTCCCAGTTTGGTTATGTCGGGGTTCCCAACTTTTTTCCTCTCCCACACTCCTGACAGTTCCCTTAGCACAGCAGCATCCCCCAATCCATAGAAACACATCTAATGCTTTAGGAAATAATGTGTATTTTGATGAAGTCCAGCATCGTGAGGTGGGGTGCTCCTTTCTCCCCCTGGATATCAGAGAATGACGAGATGGAGGCTAGATTCCTAGCTGGAGCAAAGCCCTTAAGTCACGGGTAGCAGAGTTGAGCAGTCTTAAACTAAAGGAGGTGCTTTGGTGTCTGAATGACTGGGGTGACCATGACTTACTCTATTCCATTGCTGATGGCAGCAGCGTGTCGGGGAGGGATCGCTCTCTGCTGCAGTAATATCGGAGCTTATCGTCTGTTTGTTCAGCCAGACTCGTAGACTTTTGTGATAATGGAAAAAGAGATGAATGCTGTGACAATGAACAACGTTGCCTGCACATGGGGGGACAATCATTCTGAAGCTGTATTTGAGGTGATCTGCATGCAGTAAGATTTAGGAAGGAAATTTCAGGCTGAGAGAACTATGGACAAAAAAACCAAACAAACCCAAGCATGTAGCCCCATGTATTCCAGGGAATGGGAAGTGGTCTTCCGTGTCTGGCCCGTGGGATGAATACAGAGCAGAGCCTGGGAGAGCAGTGGGGTCAGCTTCGGAAGACTCCGTGTCTTCCCCATAAGGAGGGAGGCTGAGCCAAGGGAACTGGGAGGTTTTTTTGGATGTGATGAGGGAGTGTAGTGGGACTGTTATCCCCTCAAAATTCATGCCCACAGAACCTGACCTTATGTGGCAGTGGGATCTTTGCAGATGTAATTAGTTAGGGACCGCGAGGTGTGCGGTGAAATCACACTAGATTTTGGGTGGACGGAAATCCATAACTGGTGACTAAGAGAAAAGGAGGCACAGAAACAGAGAGAAGAAGGTGGTGTAGAGATGGAGCGATTAGAGTTGTGCAGCAATAAACCAAGGACACGGGGACCACCAAAAGCTGCAAGGGGCGGCTCTAGCACCTTCAGGGGAGCATGGCATTGCCAACACCTTGATTTCAGACTTACAGCTTCCAGAACTGTGAGAGGATAAATCCGTGTTGTTTTAAGCCACCAAGTTCATGGTAATCTTGTTATAACAGCCCTAGGAAACTCATACAGTTCAGGAGAACATTCAAGTTCAGTATGGACCTTTCAAGTTTGGTGTTACCTTGTTGGGGATGGACTGTGGGCAGCTGGACTTGAGATAAGAGCAGTTGGAGTTAGAGATATCAATTTGGGGGTCATCCATAAAAAAGTCATGAAGGGGGGGCTGGGTGAAAAAAGTTAGTCATAGAAAACTCAGGAGCAGGTAAGATCACCAGGGGACAGAGTTTGGAGCAAGAAAATAGGGTGCGGGGCAGAAGCTAAGGGACCACCTCCTCTGAAGGGCTGGAGGAGGGAAGAGAAAGCCGAGAAGCACCCGCTCCTCGGGAAGGAGGAATTGCCCAGTGGCATCGAACAGTGCAGAGAGCTATACGGGGCGTGCAGGATGGAGGAGCAATGCTGGTTTGAAAATCCTTTGATAACCATTCATTTCTATTCTGGATTGCTCTGGCCGAGGGAGGGGGGAGGTGAGCGTAGAGGCAGCAAGCATCGGCTGCTCTTAATAGAGTTCAATTAGGAAGACAGAGACATGGATCAATTGTAGATACAGAAAGAAACGTAACTGAGGGAGCTTGCGGCCTATTTGTTTTTTTTTCCTTTGTTTTGTTTTGTTTGTTTTGAGAATGTGAGACTTTCATTTTTAGGCAGGAAGGAAGCAAGATGCAAATAACGAAATAAGTTTCCAGAGAAGAGACAAATATTTTTCACTGTGTGCACCCATCACGTGCCTGCAACTGTGCTGGGGTTTAGCTGAATGTGTCATTGAACTTCTCAACACTCCTGCAGAGAAGAGGACTGTCCCCTTTCTATAAGTGGGGACACTGAGAATGGTAAAGCCATTTGCCCAAGTCAGCACCTCTCAGATTGAGCCCAGGTCTGCTGACTCCTACATCTCAGTTCTCATTATATTGTTTTCCGTTGGGATAAAGAAGGTGGTGTCTTTCTCTGATTCACAAAGAATAAGAAGTAGCATAAAACATAAGCAGAAGATTTGAAATGCAGGAGAGGGAAGTTGTAGGTTTTTCTGTCTCATGGTCCAAGCCTTCATTAAACCATGAATCAGAGTTATCAGCGGTGGGGGAGGAAGAGTGAAACAAGCATGGGGGTCTTAGGAAGAGAAAGGCTTTAGAAGAAACTCTGTGGTGAGATAACTAATCTCCACGAGGATTAATGGGCCCAAATATTTTTTTTCTTGAGAGAGAGAGAAACATCAATCTGCTATTCCACCTATTTCTGCATTCATTGGTTGCAGAGTATGTGCCCAACCAGGGATTGAACCTGTGACCTTGGCATATTGGGATGATGCTCTGACCAACCAACTGGGCTACCAAGTCAGAGCCAGTGGGCCGGATTTTTCAGGGCGCTGCCTGCGTGGGGAAGCAGACGTTTATCTCAACATAGACATGCCACTGGAAAGATTGTAGTGACAGCTTTGAAAGTGCCCGAGCCGTAGACACATCTGACTTTTAACTTGAGACATGTATACACTCCGGGGCTCCCAGCAACAGCCCTCACAGCTCCCAAGGGAATCATTAGTCGCAAACCACTCCCACACAGGAGAAAACTGCTGACCAGCCTGGAGTGGGCCCGTCTGATCTGGGTCCTCCCACTGCCCTGCCCGCCAGGTGCACGCACAGCCTCTGGCAGGGTTGCTATTATGATAGGAAAATAACTGAAGTCCCTGACTCAAAAATAACACCTGCTGATTTGCATAAGAGTTTTGCATCTCATATTTGGGTTCAGTACCCAAATGCTAAGATTAATTTTTTGACCTTAGGTAAGTGGTTTAGTGGTTCAGCCAATAAAAACTCTTTGCGGGGTTCCACTCTGATGCACCCACACCCATCTCCCCACACTGGGCAGCTCTGTTCTCTCACCAGCTGGGACCATACTCACGTTGGGTTGACTCATATAAATTATGGGTCAAAAAAGAAAAATCTGTTTACTTGAAGGCTTGTTGTTTTTAAAAGGGTCTTTGGGTGAGTGCATCTGCCCTAGTTTGTGGGTCGATGGAGAGCTCCGCTGGGGGGCTCCGAGCCATCCTGGGTCCTTCGGGGTCTAGATTCACAAGGAGCGGCCCCTCATTGGAATTCCCTGGGACTGGGCATGAGGATGGCAGTTACAGAATGAGAGCTTGGAGAGGGGACAGCAAAGAAGGTGTCGATGAATAACCACAGGGCCACATTCTCTCTAAAGGCAGTTGCTGGGATTGACTGTTCCCTTGTCTCCTTAGTCACAGTTCAGCTTGCTTGCTTCACTCAGATTAAGACAGTTGAATACCGAATCACCCCGGCGTGTGATATGAGAATTTTCAATGGCACGTCCAAGGCCCCTGCCCTATGGTACAGATGCCTGGCAGCCTCAACGGGGCTGAAAGGAATCACCGGCACATGGTGAGGGTGGGCACTGCGGATTTCAGGATTTTAGATAGCGCGTTCTCTCAGTTCACTTCCTGTGCGTGAAGTAGCAAGGGGCTTTTCCCACTGGGGTGGGCATCAGCAATCCCTGAAGGGCTAGTCAAACGCAGATGTCTGAGCCCCACCCCCAGAGTTTCTCATTCAGTGGGTCTGGGGCCAGGCCCAAGAATTTGCACTTTTACCAAGCTCCTCACTGCTGCTGCTCAAGGTGCCGAGACCCCACTTCGAGAAGCAGTCGGGACGGATGCTGGGACCCGGCCACCAGACTTTCAATCCTGACTCTACTATTACTGGCTGTGTGATTGTGAGCCGTTTTCTTGACCTCTCTGTGCCTCCGTATCCGAGTAATAATAACAGTTCCTAGTCTGTGGCATGGTTACAAGGAATAAATGAATGAGAACCTGCAAGCACTTAGGCCAGTGCCTGGCATAGAATACGTGCACTTGGGACTGAGCATGTATCAGCCCAACTCGAGTTTCTCCAGCACCTGCAGATCCCAGTGGAGTTGCCCGGGTCGTTTTACCCAGTAGTCTTCAACCCCATCACTGCGGGCCAAGGAAGTTAATGCTCAGCTTGGTGCTCGCAGCAGGGACGTTACATCAACATTCATCAAAATCTGCTTTGTAAGCTACCTTAATGCTTACGATCCACTGAATCCATAGAATGTAATTCAGTGAGACTGGGAAACTGGTGCAGCGTGCATTTGGGTTTCTCTCCCCTGTGCCAGCAAGAAGAGGGGCTGCTTTTGTGTCAAGCTCAGCTGTAGCCTCCCAGTGAACATGACTCTATGCCTAGCACCACGTGCTCTATGCCCATGATTTTATTTATTTAAGACCCACAGTGTCACTACAGGTAATAATTAGTATCCATCCCTGTTTTAATACTGCTGAGGTTCACAAAAGTTAAACAGCTTGTCCAAAGTCACATAGCTATCGTGTGATAGACCCAAAACTAAAAGCCAGGTGTGTCTGACTTCGGTAACGTACAATGTGACTTTAAGATTCCACTATACCACCTGTCTAGCTTTATATGAATATTCGTTAAAGGGTAAGGCCGAGGCCCCAGGTTCCAGCAGTGGTAGCTGCTCACCAGAGGGAAGCACCTGGAGCTAGAATCGCCTCTGATTGAGGAGTTTGCTTTTCTCCAGTCTGTGGAAGGACTCAGAACATAATCCTTTTGGAAATGTTCTCTTCATTGACTTGCCTTCCATTGCTTGGTTATTCTCTCTGGCCTGACATAGATGAAATTGTGTTCACGTTGCCCAAGGCAGCTTTTGTCTGAATTTGAATATTAACCTAGTATCGTAGCATTTCTGATCGCAAACAGTGCTCCTGGCCAAGTGGTCAAGAGAGCACCCAGAGGCTAGATTGAAGGTGTGAGAAAAAATGGTATGCTAATGAAACCTTACTCTTTTTCCCATAGTGTTCCTTTCTGCCGAAATTCTCCATTCATATAGAAACCAAGTATGAGGACAACAAAGGGAGCAACAACAGCGTAAGTAGCCCCCCAGCCCACTCATTCCACGCTGTGCTCTTGTGTCTTGGGCTCTGAGAGCTGCAGTACTTCTCAAGCCCTGGTGTGTCCAGGGCCAGCAGCAGGATCTGCACCTGGGACATGAGAGAGGTTCGGGCCTTTGGGTCTGAGGGCCCGTGCCCCGGGATTTCTTTCTGGCATGCTTTGTTGTCCAGCTTTTGTTCCCGTTTTTATGTGCAGAAATTTCTGTAACCTTGAGTGGTTTTAACCGGGTATTGAGAGGACTCCCAGATCTGATTTCTGATCTTTGGATTGATCGCACATCTTCTCAATGACTGTTAACGTTTACTTACAAAAGTGAATAGTCGGATATGTGTGTGCATTCTGTGTGTTTTCTGGACTGTGCCTCTGTGCACGTAGGTGTACACACAGGTACACACGTATCCCCCCTTCAGCTCAGTGTACTCCTCCTGCAAAATACTCACCTCGTGGGGCATTCTGACTCTTCCTAAGTTTCAGCCAGGAACTTTGTTTATTCAGCCTAAAATCCGTCTTCTGGCCTGGCCTTTACTCCAGCCGCTTTCTGTCAGAGCAGTGACCCCCTTCTCCTTGGGAGTTAGAGTTCTGACCCGTCGAGAGCCTTACCCTGAGGCCGGGCTGGGGGTTCCGTCAGAACGCACTGAGGGAACAGCCTGGATCTCGGAGCCGCACAGCTGCCCCTATTAATTCCTACCTCACGTATGTGTTTTGCATTTGTGGAGAATGGCGAAGATTGTGACTGTGTCAAAATGAGCAAGAGAGAGTTTCTTAACAAGGCAACCCCTTTGGTGCCTTCACTGAGCCAAGGGAAGGCAAAGAAGGATGCAGGAGGTTGTGGAGGAGCCTAAATGCCATGCAGCAAGATCTAAGGACTCATCCACATCGTCACCCGGAACACCTTCTTTCACACGAAAACAGTCACTGAGAAGACCGGAGAAACCCACCAGAAGGGACAGCTTTAGCTAGACCTACTCTCTGGCTCTTGTGTTGACATGATCTAGAAACATCTTCTAGAAAGTTCCTACCTGTGGCAGGCGCAATTTTTTCTGGAAGGTATGGATAACCTTCCGGAAAATTTCAGCAGGACACAGATAGTCCCATTCACGGTGGAGTCGGCCTGGACAAAGCTTGAATCGTTCCCAAAGGGTGTCACCCAAGAACTACATTTCACACGGGCTTGGTGAGGGAGGACACGCCTTCATTCATTCATTCTTTCATTCAGTATTCAGCAAGGCGATATGAAACACTTTCTATTTATATGTCACTTTATGAATTGCACCAATGATATTTTAATAACACACTCATTTGTCAAACTTTCGGGAACTCATAGTTTAGCTGAGGGAGAACCTACATATTAAATGACTAAAAACATAAGCTTGAGCCCTGGCTAGTGTGTATCAGTGGATTGAGTGCCAGCCTGCGAAGCAAAGTTCAAATCCCAGTCAGGGCACATGCCTGGGTTGCAGGCCAGGTCCCCAGTATGGGGTGTGCAAAAGGCAACCACACATTCATGTTTCTTTCTCTCTTTCTCCTTTCTTCTGTGTCCAAAAAGAAATAAATAAATAAAATTTTAAGGCATTAGCTTGATAATGGGATTTCCTTCCTTTGATGTGAATAGTCACCATTGGTTGATCCTCAGAATGGCAAGAGCTTGAGAAGCTGCATTCAGTAATGACCCATCTGTTTAGGGACTGGATGGCCTGTACCTGGTACTTCAGCTTCGAGGACTAAGTTAGGAAACCTAGAGTTTATCAGGAGTCGGCCAACTACTTTTTCTGTAAATACAGTTTTATTGCAACCCAACCACACTCACTCTTATATATAATCTCCTCTGCTTTCATGCTGCATCCGCAGAGTTTGGAACAAAGCTCATATGATCCACAGAGCCCAAAATACTCATCACCTTGCCCTTTACAGAAAATAAACATGTTTATTGACCCCTGGTTACACTCAAATCAGAACGATGCTCACCAGATCTCAAAATTGGATGCTCATCAACCTTTCTACCAGCTGTCCCAGCTGAATGCCTTCACCAGAGTTCCTGGAACTTTCCAGAGGACAGAACTTTTGGGAACTGCCCTGCTTGGTTTTGGAAGCTGTAACCCCCTTGGCTAAGGCTGAGTAAAGGACCTTGGGACCATAAGCCACTTAGGGGACAAAGCTTATCTTCCTTGTAGGGGCACCGCCTCTGACCCTTTCTTTTCACCCTGCTTGGCCCCAGGTAGATGACTGGGTTAGCCAATGACAGGTAAGATTCTTCAAAAGAGGGACGGCCTAAGACAGGCATGGTCATAAAGGGGCCCTCAGGAAAGGACTTGAGGGGCTATAGAAAAAGAGGGGTAATGGACCCTCACCCCTAGGCTTTGACATAGCCTGAGTTCTCATTCTGTCTGCAAGAAGTCTCCTAATCTCTTAACTGCCTTACTTCCCCTGCCTGACTTAAGCCTGAAACAATGCTGGAGGTAGGTGCAGCCCTGTGCTGGAAAGGGCAGGTTCCCTAGGGCGACCAGGCCTAAGAAAGAAAGCATAAAATCTTATGAAACCTACTTTGCTAATACCCTTATTTAAATGATAAGGATCTAAGCAGGAAGTGAGTTTGTTCCCCAAAGTTTTATGGCCCTTTAACTATCTGACCCTGACTCAGAATAAGCCCTCAGAGTTCTTTGAATGTTATCTATTGTTTAATCATTTCTGCCTGACAGTGAGTGATGAGCTTTACATATACGCTCTGTATTCCTATGCAAATTGAACCCAGTAAAAGCTTGTCAAGGCAAGGGCCAAAGCGCTCTCCCCGTGAGAGAGTGGCCATGCCATCCCTTTTGCTCCACAGGATTCGGTAGTCCATGTGAATTTGTCTCGTATCTCATCCACAACGCTGCGGACCCCAGGAGCCAGTTCTGCATCAAAGAACAATGTACTGGCAAGGGTACTCTTCTCCTAGTAGTTCAGGATCCCCAGTGGTTAGGTTTCCCAATGGTTAGCATCCCCTGGTGGTTAGTGACCTCCAACGAAAAGTTTAGGACCATCTCCTTGTCAGCAGCCTGAAATCAGAATGGGTTTGGTGGCCAATTTCATCAAAGCCTAACTGCCTATAATAGTGTTACACAGTGTTTAACCTGAGCCCTTATAAAATAAGGGCTTTTTTTTCTGATCGGAAAATTAACACCTGGTTATTAAAACTTGAAAAATCTCCCCCGAATCCTCCAAAAAAAGGCTTGGGTGGGGGGAAAAAAGAGAAAAACCAGTACTGATTTCATAATGTAGAGATAGCTGCTCTTAGCATTTAGGTTCATGTTCCAGATTATTGATAAGTTTATTTTTTAACCAGCTCTCCTAAATTGAACCATATACTATGCCATGTTGAACGTGTCATGAAGTGTCCTTCCCAGTATGAATTTTAATGGCATTCCATACTTACACTCCTTCAAGTGACCACCAGTCACTGGATATGAAGTGAGCTTGACCATTGTAATGACCCTCAGACAGAGGATCATATGGATCAGATATGTCTGCATTGCTTTGCCTGGCACAGTGTTAATTTTTTTTTAACATCTGTTAGTCTTTCCAAATTCCCTTGCTTTCTCTTTTTCTCTAACTCTCTGTCCTCATGGATAATTTAGAAACTGCTCCCTTTGTGGAGGCGTGAGGGAGTCATGTGGCCTCACCATGATCCCTACAGATTGAGAGAAACAGCATAATCTGCTGGGTCGTCCTCTGCTTGGTTCAAATAAAAATGTAAAAAATTCACGTAATTATCTTTTCTTGTATCCCTTCTCTGCAGGTCCTAAGTTCTTTTCACTGTTCTCCTAGGAATTTAGCTTTGCTACTGCTGTCCTAGGAATTTGCAATACCAGGTCACACTCTGCAGAGTCGTAGGCTGGCCCGCGGGAGAAGCACTAGGCCGTGGGCAACACAGTATGTGTGCGTCCACTGGGAGAAGTGCCAGCCATTGTACTCTGTGTCCTCTCCTCCCCAGGTCGCTGATTCGGAGGCTGCCCCTGGGCCAGCTCCGTATCTCTCTGCCATTGCACCCAGCTTGCCCAAGTCCACGTTCTGATATCTTGTCACTCTGAAAAGGTCTTAGGTGTGCTTTTGCCCAAGTTCCCATTTCACCTTGTGCCTGGCTGTGCTCCAGTGATCCCCAGGTCTTGCTTCTGAGGCTGCTGGACCAGACAGACCAACCCCGGCTTGATCAGACTTCTTCTTTGGCAATCCGCCTTTCTCTCGTTCACACATTCAGCAAGCGGCAGCTGTGGATCACACAGCTGGCCCAAGGCTGTGGGTCCCAGGGAGGCAGAAAAGGAAGACCTCATTCTTTTCCATTCACACTTATTAATCAGACCATAATAAATACATTTTAATGTCATGTAATGCTTCCTTTAATCATTAAAAGATAGCTTTGTCCAGGGGTTGAAAACTAGGGCCCGAAGTGGGTGGCGAGTGCTGGCGTGGGCTCTGTCTGTCTGCGGATGAGAATGGAGTTTTCGGTGGGAGGCAAAGTCTCTAAAAAAGGCAGTGCAGTAGTGGGTATTTCTCTTGCCTTGCTGCTTTGCCAAATAATTTAGTAAACTCCCTTGATTTCTTTGCATTTCCTGGGTCTTGTCAGTCAGCTGCCATCCTCCAGACTAGTGTCTGCGCTGCTTCCTCTCCCACCTGCCAAAACCTTAATGAACTTGATGACAATAAGTAAAATTAAATGGAAAGACTTGAGTGATAATCATATTGATTAGTGATTGAAGAGAGTACATGTTGTTATCCTGTTATCAATTAGGATGTAAGTAATTTTTGTACACGATCCAATATGTACTAAAAAAATTCCTGTTGAGAGGACTAGGTTTAAGTATCTTCTCCTCTGTGTTAAAACTAGTCTGTTTATGATTGTGAGAACCTGTACATTGTGAATACATTAACCAGGACACTGGGAAAGTTGTCTTAAATTCAGGTCCATTTATTTTATGCACATACTGATGAGAATTATTTAA